GGGCGTCGGCGGCGTTCGAAGTTTTCTTTTTTGTTCGTATTTTCCTCGAGCTCTGGCGTTCTGCGCCAGAGCATGCACGCTTCTACATATGTGACAGTGTGAGACACTCAATATCATACTACCTAAAACAAGTCCTAACTAGTCCCTTTTCGCAGCGGCCTTTGAACAGCGCGGAGGGCCTATGCGCCAAGAAACCAAGGGAGACGGGAAGACAAAAGGACGCAGGAACGACAGAACCCCGAGCTCTGATTCTAATGATTAGCGGGAAGACCTAAAGCTAGCTGCCTTTGTCTCCACTGCCATAGCCTCCTATATACTGATAAAGCCTGGCAGATCGCGACGAGAAGCGGCCGCCGAAATGGAAAACGTGGAGCGGCAGACAACGGATGACAGGAGAGCCACGTGACTGGCGCCCCGCTGCGGCGAGACGCCGAAACACACTTCTCCCGAGCGAACAAGTGTGTTGGTTCCTCGCCGCCGCAAAAGCTGTGCGCTGACGTCCAGGTTTCTTGAGAAATGGCTCTTTGATGCTCTGTGCCACCAGATCCTCGTGCTCTCAACCTGCGACCGGGGACTCCGTGACTCCGTCGTGGAACTGCCAGCGTTAGAACGCGGAATGCCGGCGCCCGGCGTGTGGCTCACGCATTCGAACCCGTTTGGTAAAATGCGAAAACCGCCCTCCGAACTTTACAAAAAAATAAACTCTGAAAACGCGAACCCTAGGTATGCGGACTATTCACTGGCGGCCATAGCTTTGTGCGCGACTGCTGACCGCGTGCCGATGGCCTTCTTCAGCGTGCATTCCGCACCACCAAGATTACCGGTGTATAATGTGAGCTCGTTCTGAGCATACACTCTAAATATCGTCCTGAAATATTGCCACACGCGTCGGCGAGCAAGCGCGTGTGTGGCCGAGTGGTTACCGGGCTTGACTGTCGCCTGTCGCTCGGAAGGAGTAGGTTCGATACCAGTCAGTGGACTGTCCTTTTATTTATTCTTTCAACTTGGCCTTCTCGTAAGGTCGAGAATATTCTCGTCTGATTAGGTTCCGAACGTTCTACGCACCGAAAGTTCTACACCGAATTATCAAGAAACCTATGAGGGTACATAAGGGATTCCGCAAGGCGAGCGGAGTCAGTCTGGCCCCTGCGTTCGACTCTGCTGTTACGCCGACTTTGACGCCCGCGACGCTCTCTTATTATCTTTTGTACCCTTTTATTTTTGGCACAAGTTCGCCACATTAAACGTTTATTTTTTCCTGTTTATTTTTTTTGTGGTCGCCATGTATACCCGTGATAATATGACACCCAGCGAATATTTTTTTATAGTACACGAACCCTATAATTAAGCGACAAATGACGTCATGCTTATTAGAGCCGTGGTAAACTGAAAGGGGCTGTGTAACGACATTCGTTAGGAATATTTCTTACTTTACACCAGCTTCCTGGCACTAGTGGGACTTAAGAATGCTCGAACGCAACACCACTGACCAAGAAGGGTCTTCGTCGCGGCGGAATTCAAAGGATGAAAGCGGAGCTTTTATTTCAGTCTCTCCTTTCAAAGCCGCCTTTTGCTCCTTCGCGAAATTTGATGACGGAGCTGTGGGGACAATGGCAACAGTACGATCCCTGGCAATGCGTCATCGAGCTTTGCGGTGACGATATTCAAATGCTTCTCACACAGTGGACTCGAAGACTGCGTACGCATTCGATCTGGGCTCGTGACAATTGATACCTCAACAAACATTCGGGTAGTGGCCCATATCAAATCGCTGCAACGACGACAATAGCCGAGCCATAACAATGTCTGGAACTCAGCGCGTGTCCTGTGCTTTGCCAACCCCAGCGTGTGGCTATGATCAACACAATAATAATAATAATATTAATAATATTTTATTTCCATTGGCGGTATATAATCGGCTCCAGATCACTTGGCCGCTTGTTCTGGCTGCGAGTTGAGGGGGTGAACGGTGCTCGTTTTTCTTTAATTGTTCCTAGAAGGGGGAATTCAAGGTCATGTGAGTGGGAGAGTAGGGGCACCGAGGGATAAGCAGTACCAACAAGCAAAATGGCCGCGACGTTGATCAAGTGTTATGAAACTGGTGAAAATGTATTTTGATCCGGCTTTTATTTCAATGACGCAACATCAACCTGTTAACACGTTGTGATGATGTGACTCAATGTGGAAAACAAGAAGTGCAAGTCAACCCATGGATCGGCCCAGAGGGAGAAAGGAAGATGACGAAGAAGGGAAGTTTTGGGAGTGCGTGCAGAGAGGGCGTGGAAGAAGACTGGCCGAGGGGAACGTGCAGAGAGCGGAACGACACCATCGGCCAGGGCAATCGGCGACCTCCTACTGTCTGACCAGCAGCCTGTTCCAGCGAGGGCAGCGAATAGAAACCTACGCTGCCCCCGGCTTCCTACAGCGCGAGCGCTTGGTGCGGTAACTCTGGGGCCGCCGAAGGAAGCCAACCGCTCCTGCTCCTGACTTCCAGCCACAACCGTGGGCCGACAACGACAGCACAAGACACACTGCTGCACAGGGATTCAAAGACATGGTGACTGATGCGTTTTCCTTTCTTTCATTTCTTTAACTAAGTTTTCTTTTTTTTGTATAAGCATATGACCTCTTTGATTTCTTTTGTAAATACGAGTCTTAAAAAAAACGAAGGACATTGTATCTTGTCAATTATTAACCCCAAAGAACCTCGCAACACACGTCAATCAAAGCGGCGTTTAAGGGGGGCTACTACAAAAATGGACGGCGCAATGAGCGGGCGTATCCCTCTCCTGCAGTTTGGGATTCAAAACGTACGACGGTCCATGATCCTTTCAAGTGTTATTAAGGCGAGTAAAAAATTGTTTTATGAAGAACTGTTGGCATATATATCTATACTAATACGTTTAATGTTGTGCGTTATGCACACCAAGCAGTGACTGGCGATTACATTGCGGCGAAAGGGACTTATCAACGATGAAGCCTTCGTTCGGGGTGTACAGCTGGCACATGCTCCTTTGTTTTGTGTTCGCAGTGCGCAAGCAACACCGATGTTTCTATTCGCGGTGAGAAGCTCGCTAGGGCCGCGTCTGTTTTCCTCACTATAGGTAGTGCACGTGCTACCCACGCGGTTATGTTATAATTTTCGTAGTGCATAGAAGCTTGGCGTTGCACGTACTTAAACCAGCAGAGAAAGTTGAAGTATCCTCACTTGGGATTGTAAAAAAAATTTCACCAGGCGGCGATACGCAAACGTCTCGCCTAGGGTGCCTAAATGTCTGTCCGTATCAGGGTGAAGACATCCATTGTTGTCCTGAATGTGCCAGCGCGTGACGCTCTGGCGCACTTGGTGCATGACTTGGCCGGTAAAATGGCGTCTATGCAGTCGCCCAAGCTACGTGCTCGAGCTGAGTAACACCGGATTGCGCGCACTTCCATATGCATGAGAAAACGATTGGGCGGAAAAATGGCTGAGATGTCACCACTCCAGCAAAAGCGCGCGTGTGCATTAAAGCACTCTAGTCTCGCTGCGAATTCCCTGTTTCGTACTTAGTGTAAGACGCTGTCGAAGTTGCTGGAACGAGCATGGACTTTGATCTCGCAGATCATCTATACGCGTTTTCGCTCGTGCGAAACCATAAATGAAGCCTCGCACTCGCGCCTGTAGGTTGGACAGCGTTGTATACTGCGACGGCGGTGTGGCTGACGGTAACGGTGTTAATGGATGACGAGAAGAATAATTTCACTCTAAAGCAGAGCCGCTGCGTCTGGTTCTGGCCTCGACGATCGGTACCTCCACCAATGAGAAAGGTTCAAGTGCGGTATCCGATTCACCCTTGTCGATATCCTCTGCCAAAGTGGCAAAAACGACAGAAAAACAAATACGTATCGCAAAGCAAGTTGACGAGATCTTTTCGTTTTTTATAGTTTTAAAAGTGAATTTAGATTATGTTGCCTCTTATTACCTTATGTAGCAAAACGCAGCTGCAGAAAACTCAAAGTGGGTACACGATTGTGTTCTGTCTGCATACGTCGATAAAGAATAGAACAAGCGTCATTATCAGGGGATGGCGCACATCGGCGAAAAAATGAGAGTAGACGAGAGGTTGTTGTTAATTCAGAAAGTGGGGGCCAGAAGGTAAGAAATTATGGTCAAAGATAATGATTTAATCAACGCAGAAAAAAAAAGAAAAAGAACAGGGCTTGTATGACATTGCCGTGTGGTCTTCATCTACAACAATAGAATTTGACTTAAAAATACCCTTCAAGATAGACAACCAGCAAAGAAACTGAACAGCAAACAGAATGACTTCCTTGTTTTATTGATAGATGACACGTATTACTGGTCCATCAAGAATGACGAGTTGTTCTATATCCATTCGCTCATTAGAGTACGTAGGTACTATTTCCTTTCTATGGCCACTGGTTTACCGAACTGGATTTACCATCGCTTCGAGAAAACCGGCCTTGGTCGTGATGTCTTTAGGCACTCGTGTGATGTCTCAAAGCTTTCACTGTGCTTCTCATGTACACTATGGAATTTGTGATTCGCAGGCGATGATAAGTGCCGTCACAACCATTGGCTACGCAGCGAATTCAATTATTCATCGACCGATTGCTTGTTCACGAGCGCACACGTTTGAGTGACGCAACGCTCGTGCCCAATGCGTGAGCTGGGGTCGGCTGACGAGCTTCGGGTACCGCGGATGTTCACTGTGAAAGGGCAGAGAGCTTCCGAAGAAAAAAATGTACGAAATAGTCTCTTATATTTTCAAATGTCCGTACCGAAAGACATATAATTTTGACTCTTTACCCTCTTTCTTTTGGTCCACTACAAAATATTAGATTACTAAAATCCGAATATAAAATTATTTATTCTGGCCCGAAAATTATTCATTTTCCCTGCCACCAGGACCTCAGTTCCCTTTAACCCATTTCCTCAGTCAATAAAGTTTTTTTCTCTCTGTCTTTGATAAACCCCGTTCGCTCTCAAGACGTCTAACTCCTGGTTAGCTCGGTTGGTAGAGCGTTCCACTCGAAATGGAAATGTCCCTGGTTCGATACCAGTACCAGGCGGACATTTTTTGGTCACGCACCAGTCACCTAACTGTGTTTAAACATTTGTACCTTATTAAGGGGAATAACCCGCTTATTCCCCTGGAGAAGGGGAATAGGGGGGGTTATTCCCCTTCTCCAGGGATTAATATCGTAATTCTTGTCTAGCTCGCTTTCACCTTTGCATTCATTGCATTATCATAATACCCTTAAAATGCAGGCTGTTCACCCTTTTTGGTTAGACGGGTGGAAAATGATAGCAGCTGGTGGTACCTTTGCATAAATATTATTATAATCTCTTTCAGTTGTATTGAAATAATCTACATCACTATCACTACGACCTACTACCATAGTACTACTACCATAGTGGAAAATTCTTCAGGAAAGATACTGTTTTCTGGTGTGCCAGCGGACTTTTCCCTCCCGTGATTTAGTGTGATACAACCACCATGGTATTCAGGTGTGACACCAGCACTCTGGTGTTCTGGTGTGACTCTAAAGCTCTTGTGTTTGGGTGATATCTTCGCTCTGGTGTTCTGGTGTGATCAACAGCATGTTTAAGTGGACCACTTTAGTGTCATCGAGCGACACCAGGTTTTGATTTGGGGTGATGCTGCAATGCTAGCTGTGGGTTAAAATGGTGCTCTGTTAAAACTCACTATAGAGGTTTGCTGTTTCCTGTCGTTCTCAGTCACGTTGTTTCCGTATCTAGTATTCGGGATGAAAAAATAATAAAACATTTCAACCCGGAATATGCTATAAAATATAGATGAGGCAAAACGAAAATATGTGACAATCACCGCATTTTTCGTAAACACCTTTTAGTGGCGTGGAGAGTTTAAAACGATGTTTTACCGCATTCCAGAAGTGACGACATTCAAATGTCAGCGCCCTTATGGAAAAAGTGTGTACTGAGAGACCATAAAAAGTGAGACACGAAGCTGGTTGTATAATTACTTCATTCTAAAGAACTTATTCTTAAGAAGCAGGATATACCTTTCTTTTCCACCGACGATGAAAACCGTACCAGAAGTTCGAAGTGTACGAATATAATATCGTGTTGTTGTCTCAGCAACTCTATAAATTAAATGACAGTCCCACAAAAACATATGTGTGAACAAGCATATACAAATGTCTTAGTCGCTCCTAAAAACTTTAATGCACATTCTCGAACTTTACAGGATTTAATAAGACATGTTATGAAAGTCAAAGAGATCTTCCATCTGAAATCTCTTTTAAAGAAAACCCTAACTGCTCTTTTTCCGATGTTGCAGCTCGGTCGTTTCCCTGTGGTAGCGGCATAGGATAGTTGCTATTCCTGAAATCAATCTGCTGTTGATTGTTCTCTGTCATGAATAGTGCTGAAGGAACCTGTGACAAAAAAAAGCGTGAACTTTTTTTTTTGTTACATTAACACAACATTATATTATACTGGTTATATTATTAACACAACATATGCTTCTAGTATTATGGTATGTATGGTTCGCCCATGGCCTCCAAAATCCCGAATTGCGCGAACGCTTTTCCGGCCGTCCCATTCGTGCGGAGAGAGCATAAGCGGAAAAGGAGGAGGAGGTGGCGTCTCTCCGCACGGAGGCGCTCTCAACCCAGGCATCGAATTCGCCGTTTCAGTGGTTTCAGGGTGGCGCAAAAGAGAAGATTCCAAGAAAAACTCATGTGACGTCGAGTTACTGCAGCTTCTACTTATAGGTTTTTGTTTTTTCTGGTATAAGGGTAAAAAGCTGTCCTGGAATAATAAATAGGCAACTTGTGATGCTTATTTAATTTTAAATTTTCATCTCGTCGTAGCTTGAACTACAAGCGCGCCTTTTGATATATTTGAATAATACCTAAAGCGCGTATACAACCCCCCCCCCCCCGGCCAAAAAAAAAAAAGAAAAAACTAGCTCTCTAAAAAAAAAAAGATTAAATTTCCCTAAATAAAATCAACAAGCTGTACTTTTTTTTTCTTTTTTATATCTCCGCACGTTGTTTGACGTAGCTTTCTTAGCTTAAACACGAGGTTTGACACTATCCAAGCAGACTCCTCGTGTTGTCCCTTTAATATATTTTTATTGCTTATTACTCAATTTATGCAGGTCATATTGCGATCCTTGCTTATACCAGAAGCACTCTTAAGCCGGGGTCACACTAGTGTGCCTCAATGCCCTTCTGTTTAGGGTGATGTCATCTTTTGTAGCACCCGATGCCGACAGCACGCGCTCACAGGGAAAATACAAAGAAATCGCACGAAACAAAATGTCGCCGTAACACAGTCAGCGCCACGAGCACGTGCAGAGGCACGATCTTTCACGCGCTTCAGAACAAAAAATAAAACTAAGCGTTCGAAACAAAATGGCGAGATATCATCACCCCAAGCAAAGCGCACATGAAGGCACCTTAGGTCACACTGCTTATACATCAACAAAAGAAACTGCAACCAAACACGAGTCACCACAACATCCGTAGTTAAAATGGCGCGTGGCGAGTTTTTCTTTGAACTTATTGCCATGGGACATTCGAAGCAAGGTTCTTGCGGTGACTTCCGTTTAGAACTGTATGCAGACTGTCTTTTGTATGATGTATAAGCAGTGTTACCCCGGCTTTAGAGAAACAAGTTATGGCGGTGAGATACGACCATCTCGCAATGATTTTGGCGTTTTTTTTTTTCTTTATAAACACCGTGATAATTATAGGCACTAACTCAAAAGATAGGGCATTATCTAATAAATGTCTGGTTTTCGGCACATGTTGCACAAACCGCCACATCCCGTTATGTGCCTTGTGATGTAATAAATTGATATGCAAACAGACAATGAGATATAAAAAAAAAACTTAACTCTGGTTTATTAATAAATTCCAATATTGTTCCAAATTAGTTTATTCGGTATTCCGACTTCCAAAAATAGTTTATTTACTAATTTCCAAGCCTTGAATTTTTAGATTAGACGCAAAGTAATTTGCGATGCAGTGGTTTCGAGCAGCTTCTTTAGATACGGTACCCGCTCTATCATCCTCATGCCTATGTTGACGAGCAATGTCATTACACACTTCTCTATTACAATTCTAGAAGTTTTTGTCTCGTGGTCATCTTGCCGGGCACCCTAGAAGGGGGCATCTCTATGAATATGGCAAAATCAGTGCTGTTAACTTAGAAGCAACCTGTGCTTTCTAATACGTAGAACATCAGTGTCAAGGGCTTCTTTGACGGTAACCAGCGCTGCCACAGGTGACGAGCGCGTTGGCATATATTGGCGTTGGTCGTCTGCAAGAATATCTTCCTTTCCTTTTGCTTTCCTGTTCACCAGGCAAAAACGCTGGCATGTGTACTTGAGACCAATTAGCTCGGGTGGTGTCCGTCATTAGATCGCAAACTCTCGCCATGGTATGAGATGGACGTTCCTCACTACAATCCAGACTCTCTTAGCAATTACAGCGGTAGCTCCGACACCTTATCCAACCCTAAATTATCCGTGTGTATCTTGCATCTCACGTGGAGGATCCATCTCCAGTGTTTTTTCGGAGAGCGACACACTCCCCCATTCATAACCATAAAACTATCCAGATGGTTGATGTCACACGACTGCTCGCCTAGTTACGTGATATTTTAGGTTATGTGACTCTATGATATCACGTGACCGTGAGGCGCCACGTGACATTATGACGTCATAGAGATTCTGAAGTCACGTGACGTCGCGGTGTCACATGAGAACACAGATACCCTGCATCATTTTGAATAAGTGGAGAGGCCATAACAGCTCTTGCTAGAAAAACGCAGAACGTGCGTAAAATTAGCCTTGTAAAAAGTTGTTTTGGCAGATGAAGAAAAACAAGTTCAGCCGTCCCACCAGAACATTTTTTTTTTTACCCACGAACTTTTATCCTTACGTCCACTACCCATTTTGGCAGACCAGGAAGTATCCGAAAACAAAACAGACCTTGGAGCCAGGAAAACGAAACATGCAGCCCGACGATGCGACTGAGTCCCCCCCCCCCCCTGCGATGCCTGCGACGCTGACGGCTCGTCGCTCTGTGAAGGATGTCGCCAAATCGCAGCGAGCGACGGAGTTAGCGCCATTACACTCGAAACTGCTGGGCATTGAGCCGAAGAGGACGGCCGGAAAAGCCTTCCCGGGCGTCGGATCTCGGAGGTCATGTTTCGCCTTAAGAGCAACGTGGGAAATTGAGAACTTTTTTCGAAGGGTGAAACGCAGACAGATTCCTCCAAATTTTATGTTAACGTTTGTCGTCAGTTTTGTTTCTTCCAAAGGTATTTGAGCCCATTTTTCGTGTGAATTTTTATGAATATCACTTTTTTTATTTGTGTATGCTCGAATATGTCCTTCCTGCGAAAGAAAAACATTTTTGTGAACTATTGTTTTTTTGTTTGTTTTGTTACTCGGAAGAAATCGATGTTCAAATGCTACAATATTCTTCGGTTATTCTCTGGAGTCAAATTCGCCTGTACACAATGCAAAGAAAGTTGTTTTTCTTTTTCTTGCATAACATTACTCAATATTTTTGTTTCCAGCAATTTTTCTAGATAGACACAGCACTTTTCTTCTTTTTTTTTTTTAATTGAAAGTGTGTTCTACCGTCTATGGACACAAGTCTTATTGCCACTGACGGACCCGCTGAACAATATTGTATTTATATTTGTATTATTTAAACGTTATATTATTAATATCATTATTATTATTATTAAGTAGTAAGAAGAAGACGTCTTCGGGAGCAGACGTTGGTCAAGACTAGGTCAAAAACCTCTCTACCGGCCTCGGCTCACAAGTAGGCTCCCGGAAAACCATCTTGCCAGGCGTTCGAATTGCTGGCTCTGCGGCAGCTTTGTCAACTCTTCTAGTGCGGTACTCTTCGTGGTGGGCTGACTGACTCCTTTCCGATTCGCACGAGCCTTCTGAACGTCGACTGAAAGGGCAATGAGGATGGCTCCAATGATTGAATGAGCAAAGTGCTCGCAAGCAATACCGGTTGATATCAAGACCTTGGTTTGTGCGGACTGCAGG